CTCCTCCTCCTTCTTTTTAACGGGAGGCGGCGATAGTGACCTGTCTTTGCGCACGACTAACAAGCAAAGGAGTAGGTATCCAATGTTCTTTTCTAATCAGAAATGGTGTATGAAACAGCCTCGTACCTGGTATTTTCAGTTAGTCGGGTTTGAGGGACAACGGGAGTGTGTCATTGCTGGGTGAGAAGTATATTTCATTTTGTTGGAATATATATTTTTGACCTAAGGAACAGGGGTCACAAAATGCTAATATACTTACCCAACCAAGGTTTAGCCTGACAGTTAACACTTAGGACAAAAGCCACCACTGTATCTTTAGGTGGTTTTTGTTGTAGTTGTTGTTGTTGCTGTTGTTTTAGCACATCAGTGATTGTGGAATGAATAACATTTGGGGTTTCATTTCCGTTCATTATATAAAGTACATATGTATTGGATGTATATTCCTATTCTGCCCCTTACAATCAATTTTCCATATTATTACATAGTCTATGTAAATATACTTTGTAATGTCTGCATATTACTTCCTTGAATGAGTTTATTACAGTAACCATTCCTTTACTGTTGACTATTGAATTCGTTTCAGTGAATGGTCATTATGGCACTAATTGCATATCACCAGTCAAGAAGAACTCTACTTCTGGAGATAGGAATAATCTTTTGTATAGCCATATTATTGTTAGGCCTTTTTCCTCCAATGGGCAGACATTTGACCCTGTAATTTCACTAGGAGTTCTAGCAGTCCAGATTGCATTCCTTCCTTTGGAAGGACAGATAGCTTCCCCAAATGTGGGGAAATGTAGACTGACTGGCCTTTTCTCTGTGCCCTAGAGGCTGTATGCAGTTCTTGTGGTGCCTCTGAGACAGGAGCAACCCCTAGAGCTGCGCTGGAGAAGTTCAAGAGATAAAAAGAGCTGGGATCTAGGAAGAGGAAGGAAAGCAGTCAGGCAGGGTAGGTGACTACAAAGCACTTTGAAACTGGTGATTTCTTTAGGTTCTCAGGGAGAGCAAGTAGCACAGAAATTATTCCTCTTTTATAGATCCAGAAACTGAGGCCCAGAGAGGGAAAGTGATGATATGCCTAGGATCACAGAACCAATTAGTGCCAGAATCTCCCACTCCGCATAAAAATAATCTATGATTCACTGATTTTGGCCCCTGGCCTACAGTTTTTACTCCAAACTTTGTGATCCCTGGCAGCTTTTCTCACCTGAGAGCTGCACCTCTCTGTAGGTTCTGACCACTGTCTCCTATGCTTCGATCCCTACCACTACATCTGCTACTGCACCTTATTAGAGCGTTCTAGTCCTTTGACTGTTCCTTTATTCAATCTGTCAGTTGCTTCCTGGCTTCACTTTCTTTCCATTTGTATGGTCAGCTCTCTCCACATCCTCAAGCCTTCTTTTTTGCTTTATTTTCCTGATCATCCTCCCTGATACCTTCCATCACCATCAATCTATTTTGTTTCTCTCTTCCTCTTTAACTAGATTCCTGCTTTCAGCTGTCCCTGAATCCTCAACTATCCACTGATCAGGTTTTTCTCCAGTTCCCCACCTTAGCCTTCCCACACTTTCGCCTCTGTCTTCCCATCTCCTACTCCCCACTCTTATCCCTCTCCTCCCCCACCAACAACTGACCTTGTCTCCTACTTCACAGGGAAACTTCAAGATCCTCCTCCCTGCAGCTCAGGGAAGTCCCCATCCTTTTCTTTCTTCCTTCCTCTTGGTCTTAGGAAGCGGTGTTTCTCCTGTGTAGAACAAATCCCTTCACCTCTGCCCTGACCTCATTCCCTCCCTCCATCTTTGGCATCTTGTCTCACCAGGTATCTCTGTTTTTCTTCTGCATCTTCAAAATCTTTTTCTCTACTGGTCCCTTCCTTTCTTCCCTCCTAAAAAATGCTTCCTTGACTGCACATCCCCCTCTGGATATTGTCTGACTTCTCTCCTGCTCTTTTCATCCAAGCTTCTTAAAGAAACTCTTTCAAACTTACCACTTGGTTTCTACCTCCACTGCATCACTGAAACTACATTATATGAAGACCTTCTAATTGTAAGATCCAATGGACACTTTTCAGTCTTTATCCTACTGGAGTCCCCAACTGCATCTAACATCAGTGTTTCCTCTATCCTTCTTAAACCCCCCTCCCTCCTTGGCTTCCTTGAAGCCACTCTCCTTCTGATGCCAGAGCTAGCAGCTTGAGTGTGGGTGTGGTGGAGGCAGATGCTTTGATCCAGCCTCTCTCCTGTGCGGTGCCCTCTCTTGTTCCCAACAGGTACCAACTCTAAGGTCCTAGGGTGTTTGTCACTGGACTGGGTTCTGTCCACCCCATACAGAAGCAGGCCAGATTCCAGTGGCTTCCCCTTTCTTTATTGCTGATTCGAGCCAGGCTCAGAGAGGCTTGCGCCAGGTGTTGACAGTGTCTGTCCCTGGAGGAGGGAAAAGCAGAGGTGAAAGGGTCAGGTATGGGGGTCAAATTTAGGGCCAGGCCACAGGTTGTGTGGGCCAGGGAGCCCAGGAGGTCTGGGATGGGTGCTGGGATGGCCGGAGGGCCCCTGTGTCTGTAAAGCCTCAGAGTCAGAATTCCTGACTATGGCTTCTCAGAGGGTAGGCATCTCTGCAAAAGGCACACAGTCTGCTCCTGGGGTTGGAGACCGGTGCAATTTGGGATGCAGGCGCTGAGAGAGAGAGGTAGTCCAGGATGGAATGACTGAGGGTGGGAGCACCTTCCTGCCTGGCCTTCTGACTATGGTCCTGGAATGGTCCCGTTCCAGGTTGCCCCTGCCCCCTTACCGTGAGGCCTCCCTCCTCGTCGCCGGGTCTCCTCAGTCTCAAAGAAAGTCTCATGTTCCTCCCAGCGCCGGTCACAGGCCGCACAGAGGAAATTAGACTCAAAGCAGTTGCAGCAACAGCCTAGGGCAAGGGGGAAGCCAAGACAAGTATAGGGAATTGGCGCTTTCCCACGGGCTGACTATGTTCTCCTCTCTTCCTCACCAACCACAAACCCAAGTTTCTCCTACCAGTTCCCCCATCCTCATCCCCAAACCATGTGCATCCTACCCATGCCCACCCCTGTACTCCCCTCACCCTAGAAATTACCTTTCACCCTGCAGGAATGGGACCCAGTAGCTGCATGGTCTTCATGGCTGTGTTTGCAGCGACATTGGGCCCTCCAGGCCTTAGGGTCAAAGGTAGCTCGTCTTTTAAGCCAGAACTCACCCACCTCCTCTGGGCGTGATGGGATAAAGCAGAACATGAGGCAGCGGCACTGGCCCACATTGCAGGGCACAGATATGTCTATGGGAATGGGGATGGATGGGAGGATTAGACTGGCACCTAATAGGGCCTAGCCTTCCTGTGCCAGTCCCCCTCCCCCATACCAATACACACACACTTTCTCTCATACATCCCAACACATGGCCCGAGTATAGTTTTCCCTTCCCATGGACAGGGGCTGGTCAGTTCTCCCTACCTGAGACGATCTGGTGCTCTCTCAACAAGTGTCCACAAAAACATTTGGATTCATCTCCAATTTGGAAACAGTCCCATAGATAATGGGGGCAGCGCCAGCCAATATGGAGACCTGAGTGTGGAGGAATTAACAGGGAAGAGTGAAAAGAAAAAATAGCCTAAGCACCCCCCTCAGCCCCTGTGGTCTCACCTCTTCCCCAGTGTATTCACTCCACCCATGATCTCCACCCTTTGAGACATCTTCCCCATCGGATTTTCTCAGTATCCCACAAGTGTTTCAGCTCCTTTCCCACCCCAGGATCTACTCCATTTCTGTTAGCCTGTCAGAAATGACTGAAGACAGTCTTCAGTTTCTGAAGTGGTTTCTGAGCAGGAAGATTCGAAATGAAATTTTGCTTGAAGACGAACACGAATCTTGCTGAGTTCTCTGTGGCTATTAAGATTCTCATTTCCTCCCCTTCCCACATTACAGCCTCACTTTGTTTTGTTTCATTGAAGTGTCTAAGTTGAGGGAAAGGGAAGATGATTGGCCAGGTATAGAATAGATGGTGAGGACTAGCACCTAAGAAAATGTGGTTGTTAAAGGGACAAGAAGAGGAGGAGGAGGTTGGGCAGCTCTGGGACCAGGAGGAGGGTTTTCCTCACTTTTCCAGTTTGGCACCTTCCTATTTCCCTTTATGTTCCTGGTGTTCCTGAACTGATGCTATCTATGAACTTGAGAAGGGCTGCCTATAGTTTTCTAAGAATCAGGAGAAAGGGGTAGGCCAGAAGTCATGAGTGGTGAAGACCAAGAAACAGAAGCTTGTGAGGCTAGGAAGTTTCCCTGAGAATAGGCACCAGCAAGATGCCACAACCCTTGAGAGCCTGGTTTCAGTAGTGGGATCTGAAATTGGCTTCATGGTCAATCTCACTACAAGGCAAGGGTGGAGCCATTTAAATGTGGGAGAACCAGAGAGCACATTCCACTCATTTTCTCACCCTTCATGAAACCTGAGACTACTCCAACTTCTAGGCAAGAATCCTGTATGAGTCCTTATGGAGTGGGACCTTCAGCTATGGGACTCATTCCCATTTAAAGGCTACAATGAAGTGTCACCTCCACCAAACAGTTGTCCCTGACTTCCTCTGCCTGTCTAGGGGCTCCTCCTCTTTGTTTCTCTGACTCCTTTGCTACTCCTCTCACAGTACAATGCATTATAATAGTGGACTTTTCACTTGTATTCCTCTTAGACTGTAGGTTTTCACCTATATTTCTAGTCCTCGTACAAGGCCTGGCCCAGAATAGGTGCTCAGAGAGCACAGACAGCTTGACTGACTAAATGAATAAGCAAACTCCTTCAGGACAGAAGAGAGACCCAGTATTCTAGGCTTAACACTGAAGTTCCATAAGGAGGGTGGGAAAGAGTTAGTGTCTTCTGGTCTTTGACTCTGGCCAGGGCCACAATCCACAATTCTGTGCCTAATTGTCAGTCTAGTTTTTCTTGCCTTACCCATGATCTTTCAGGGTCTAAAGCCTGTCCAGGCGTGGCTTTTGGCTTTGCTACTTCTGTCTCGATCCTGCCAGCCTGAAGTGTCAGTGCCCCATTATAGCAGTGAGGCTTTGTTGAAAGGGCAGGGTATATAGGTAGAGTCACAATGGAAGTGAGTGGGGGCCAGGATTCCACTAGCGGAATTCTGAACTCTGTCCAGAGCAGCAGGATACACTCGGTGAACAGATGAGAGGTGGAGGTGAACAAGGGTCAGTGCCCACATATCAAGGTCCCGCTTGAAAGCCTGGGAGAGTCAAGTGCAAGCACTGATATGGGAGTCAGTGCCCCGCCTTTAGATGAAGCAGACTAGAGTTTAAACAGAGACCGGCAACTATACCTCAGACTCCATTATAAGTGTCAGTGCCCTTAAAGCAGGACAATTGACATCAGGCTATATAGTCCAGAGTGGGACCCTCTACTCTCTGCTCTGATTCCAAACTGTCTTTCTGTTATAAGTGGACAAGGACTGGTAGGGGGAGGAGACATTATCTGGAATGCCATTTTGACGGTGTACCAGGTGGTTCTAGGTAGTTTCACCTTAAGAATCTGTGCTCCAAGCATTTTCACCGCAAACATTTCCACTGCATGATTAATTGGCCATAGGCAATTTTGCCACGAAAGATAAAATCACAAAAAAATAAAAGGACATTCATTAAAGAGGGCATAGTTAAACATGGAAAATGAATACCAAAATTAAATATGACCTTATTGCAAAATCCAAATATTTGAATTTAAAATGCATAGTGTAGATTCATGGCCATGCTGTGTAAATAACTGATTGTATGTTGTGGATTGTACCCTAAGCACTTGTCTTCAAAGTCTTTCATTCATAGCATTATACAATTTTTTTTTTTTTTTTT